AAGAAAAGAGAAGAGAAGAGAAGAGAAGAGAAGAGAAGAGAAGAGAAGAGAGAATAGAATAGAAACAGAAATAGAAGAAGAGAAGAGAAAAATAGAAATAGAAATAGAAATAGAAAAAGAGAAGAGGAGAGGAGAGGAAGGAGAAGAGAAGAGAAGAGAAGAGAAGCAGAAGAGAAGAGAGAAGAGAGAATAGAATAGAAACAGAAATAGAAGAAGAGAAGAGAAAAATAGAAATAGAAATAAAATAGAAAAAGAGAAGAGGAGAGGAGAAGGAGAGGAGAAGAGAGAGAAGAGAAGAGAAACAGAAATAGAAGAAGAGAAGAGAAAAATAGAAATAGAAATAGAAAGAGAAGAGGAGAGGAGAGGAGAGGAGAAGAGAAGAGAAGAGAAGAGAGAATAGAAACAGAAATAGAAGAAGAGAAAAGAAAAATAGAAATAGAAATAGAAATAGAAATAATAGAAATAGAAATAGAAATAGAAATAGAATACCTTGAGGGTGAAACCAAAGCTACTGTCGGACGTCAAATAGGTCCGACTCAAACCTCTAAATAAAAACCATCCTTGGCTCTGTTTGTTGAGAAGGGGATAGTTTTATTACCTTTAATAAATAATAAAGATAATATCTAATAAAACTTATCTCTTTCACAGCAAATAGAGCCAAGGATCATTTTTATTTAGAGGTTTAAGTTATGGCAGTTCCTACAGCCACATTAGGGACACGGTGGCTCAGTGGCTAAGACGCTGAGCTTGTCGATCGAAAGGTCGGCAGTTCAGTGGTTTGAATCCCTAGTGCCACATAACGGGGTGAGCTCCCGTGACTTGTCCCAGCTTCTGACAACCTAGCAGTTCGAAAGCACGTAAAGAACGCAAGTAGAAAAATAGAGACCACCTTTGATAGGAAGGTAACAACGTTCCATGTGCCTTTGGCATTGAGTCATGCCGGCCACATGACCACGGAGACGTCTTCAGACAGTGCTGGCTCTTCGGCTTTGAAAAGGAGATGAGCACCGCCCCCTAGAGTTGGGAACGACTAGCACATATGTGCGAGGGGAACCTTTACCTTTACCTTACAGCCACATTGGATGTACTCTTGTTGATGACTTTTGTTGAGACCAGAATGGAGGAAGTACAGATAGTCCTCGATTTACGACCACAACTGGGAGCAGGATTTCCATTGCTAAGCGAGACGGCTGTTAAGTGAGTTACACCTGATTTTACATTTGGCCGTGTTTGTTAAGTGAATCACTGCAGTTGTTAAGTGAATCATGTGGTCTTTAAGCAGATATACCTTCGCCCTTTGGCTTTGCTTGTTGGAAGCCAGCTGGGAAGGTTGCGAATGGTGATCATATGACCTTCAGATGCTGTAACCATCATAAATTGATGCCAGTTGCCAAGCGCCTGAATTCTGATCCTATGACCATGGAGATGCTGCCACAGTCATAAGTGTGAAGACAACGTCATAAGTTACTTTTCTCAGGGTTATGGTAACTTCGAATGGTTGCCAAGTGCCTGAATTTTGACTCCACACATGATCCTGGGGAGGCTGTGTTGCCCTAGCGCAGCTCCAGCGTACATGCGCGCGCTGGCCAATTGATTTTCAGGCCTTCCTAGAAAGCCTTCTGGTGCCTGGGAAGGGTGAAAAACAGGCCTACCGGGCCGGGCCCACTGGGCCCATCGGACCATCACGTGGCAAAAGTGGGGGTCGTGCGCACATGCGCGGGGTGCGGGGTGCATTGAATTATGGGTGTGGGCACACGCATGTGTGACCCCCCCCCCTCCGCGCTTCTCCTGCTTTTGGCACGTGACGGCGAAAAGGTTAGCCATCACGGGTGTAGGGTCTCCTGCTTGGCAGGAATGTTCTATGCTAAGGACTCTCCCTTGTCCTCCAGTCACACCTAGAGTATTGCATCCAGTTTTGGTCACTACACTATAAAAAAGATGTTGAGACTCTAGAAAAAGTGCAGAGAAGAGCAACCAAGATGATTAGAGGACTGGAGGTTAAAACATACGATGAATGGTTGCAGGAACTGGGCATGGCTAGTCTAGTGAAGAGAAGGACCTGGGGAGACAGGATAGCAGTCTTCCAATATTTGAGGGGCTGCCACAGAGAGGAAGGGGGTCAAGCTATTTTCCAAGGCACCTGAAAGCCAGACAAGGAATAATGGATGGAAACTGAACAAGGAGAGAAATTCAACCTGGAAATAAGGAGAAATTTTCTGACAGTGAGAGCAATCAACCAATGGAACAGAATTTGCCTTCCGAAGTTGTGGGAGCTTCATCACTGGAGGCTTTCAAGAAGACATTGGACTGCCATTTGTCAGAAATGGCATAGGGTCTCCTGCTTGGGTGGGGGGTTGGACTAGATGACCTACAGTCAGTGGTGCGATTCAGCCAGTTCGCACCTATTTGGGAGAACCAGTTGTTAACTTTCTAAGCAGTTCGGAGAACCGGTTGTTGGAAGAAATCTTATTTTGGTTTTTCTCACTTTACAGGGCTAATCCTGTAAGGAAGGCAAGAAGGAAACATTCTGGTGGTGTTTCTAGCCTAATCTTTATTGCCCTGTTTACAGAAACTGCCTCTCTGGTTAACCCTTATTACATTGTAACAGCTAAGTCGAAGCCCCCTTCGATGCGAGTGACGTTGAGTTGGCCACGCCCACACCAGTGGTGGGTTCCTCCCGGTTCAGTCCAGTTTGGCCAAGCCGGTAGCGGTGACGATATGACGTCACCGAACCAGTTCTCCCCCCCATCCTGCCCTCCCACCCACCCCCCACCCACGTTATTCTTACCTTTTATTTGGTCCCACCCCCAATCTATTGGTGCCTCCTGAGTCCCAGCTGATGACTAGAGGGAAAAAACTGTTTAAACTCTTGCCGCGGGGCTTCAAAGGGCCGCCCTACAGCTGATCAGTGTTAAAAGCAAACAAATGAGTCGGGTCGTAAGTGCGAGGACTGGTCGTAAGTGCAAGGACCTTCCAGAAATGGCTCTGACCAGCTAGCCGCGCCCACCTAGTCACATGACCTCCAAGCCACACCCACAAAATAAGCCACGCCCATAGAACCGGTAGTAAAAAAATTTAGAACCCACCCCTGGCCCACACGGTCACATGACCACCAAGCCACGCCTACCCAGCTGGTCATTAGAGCAGAGAACCGGTTGTTAAATTATTTGAATCCCACCACTGCCTACAGTACAAGGTCCCTTCCAACTCTGTTAATCTGTAATCTGCATGCTTGAAATGGGAATATCTGGTTGTGAAGATCAGCCCTTAGATGGCAGGAACAGGCTAATTGGATCAATTAACTTCAAACGGTCCTATCATATCATTAATGCAGTGTTTTTGAGTCTTAGCAACTTTAAGACATATGAACTTCAACTCCCAGAATTCCCCAACAGCCATACTTTTCATGCCTACGGCAAACTAGAACTCACCATCTCCAAGCAATTGGCCCAAAGTCACCCATAGTTTCCTAATACCATAACCATAAAATCAAACTAGCTCTCCGTTCCCAATAATTATTAATAAAAATTTTAATAATTCCCAATGCTCTGGATTTCTACAGGGAGTCCTGGACTTGCAAGAGTTCATTTAGTGACCGTTTGAAATTACAAAGGCATTGACAAAAGTGACTTGTGTCCTTTTTTCTACTCTTACGACCGTTGCAACATCCACACAGTCATTCGGTCAAAATTTGGATGCTTGGCAACTGGCTCATATTTATGATGGTTGCAGTGTCCCAGGGTCATGTGATCCCCTTTTGCAACTTTCTGACAAAGTCAATGGGGAAGCCAGATTCACTTAACAACCATTTTACTAATTGCAGTGATTCTGAGTGTTTTACGGATTTACTGAGTGTTTTTATTTGTTCTGGTCTCTGTCTATGACTGTAATAATAAACTGAATTGGGAAATAAAATAACTGCAGTGATTCACTTAACAAGAGTGGGAAGAAAGGTCACAAAATGGGGCAAAATTCTTTTAACAACTGTCTCACTTAGCAATAGAAACTGTGAGTTCAATTGTGGCCGTAAGCCGAGGACTACCTGTACTCAGTGGTGGGATTCAAGTAATTTAACAACTGGTTCTCTGCCCTAATAATTTCTTCCAACAACCAGTTTGCCAAACTGCTCAGAAAGTTAACAACCGGTTCTCCCGAAGTGGTGCGAACTGGCTGAATCCCACCACTGCCTGTACTCCTACCATCCCATTCCCATCCCATAAACTGGTGGATCCTTAGTGGGAGTCAAAAAACCCCAGATGGCATCTGTAACTATGTGATATAAAACATCATCCCTTTTTAAAATGTATGTTGTGGTTCGTAGGGTTGCCAGGTGTCCACTATTTGAGCGGACAGTCCACTTTTTTCACATTATGTTCACCATTTTTTTTCACAAAATAGTGGACATTTTTTTTATTCAAAAGTTTATGATGAAATGGTACGTAATCTAAAGCTGTACAGTCTAAGAGAATAAGGATAGGAGAATCGCGTTTTGTCTTTTTTTTCATAAATTAGAATGAGACAAAGATCGAATGCTCATTGCAATAATCACATTTTACACAACAGCGCAAAAAATGCATTAAAGCAATTATCTTTTGATATTGAAAATGTAGTGCTGAAGGTTTTTGCCGAATTTTCGAATTCTGCGAAGAAACGAGAAGAGTTGAAATCATTTTTTGAGTTTTGCGAGTCAGAATTCCATGAAGTTTTGTGCCATGTTCCAACACGTTGGTTAAGTTTGTTTAAAGCGGTTGAAAGACTTCTTTTAAACTGGATACCTCTAAAATCATATTTTATTTCTCTTGGATCTGATGAGTGCCATAAGGTTATCTGGAACCTTATTTCGGATCAGGAAAATGAACTCGCAAAGGACGATGAACCAACAATTTCAGAATTGTATTTATATTTCATGCATTTCTTCATGTCAATAATGCAAGACACCCTACTGAAGCTGGAAAGCAAGAAAATTCTTGCATGTGATCTTCACATTATCATGTGTAAGCTGCGTGATTCTTTGCAAAAAAAATACGATGAGCAGTTTTTTGGAATGAAAGTTTTATTTGCCTTACGTAAAAAACATTTGCCTGAGAATGCCATGCAAAAGTTCAAGAAAAAAGCCATCAACGTGTATCAAAGAGCCATTGCGTACCTAGAAAAGTGGTATAATTTCACCGATTCAGTATATGAGGCGCTAAGTTGTTTCAATCTAATTGATCGCATTAATCCTCCAACTTTAGAAGAAATGACGAACATCTGGTTATTATCACCATGGCGAGAAGAACTTCCACCCAACACTCTCTTCGATGAAATTTCTGCCTTAGAAGAAGTTTATGTTCATCTGCAGGGCGATTCATCCCTTGATAAGTGGACGTACTTTTTCAAGAAAGAGCCAGCTCTGAGTTTACTGAAACTGTTCCAGTATTGTGCATCAATTCCGGTATCAAATGCAAACGTTGAACGAATTTTCAGTGTCATGGGAAATTTGTGGACTGACGAACGTAACCGACTGCTTGTATCAGTTCGAAGTGAGCTTTGTATATTTTTTAATATTTCTCAATGTTGTACTGAAATTAAAGAATTATTCCTTAAACACAAAGACTTGATCAAAGCTGCGCAGTCAAATAAAAAATACACACGATAGCAAAGTAAAATGTAATTTAATATTTTACATATTATTATAATATTTGATGTTTTGAATTTTAAGTAAAGTTTTGAAGTGATTATTTTAATACGTGTTAAAATGTTTGTAAGAAAATATATAATTTAATTGTAAATTTTTAAAAAATTTTTTAATACTTAACTCCCCCCCCCGCTTGTCCGCTATTTTTTGGAAGCAGACCTGGCAACCCTATGTGGTTGCCTTTTGTCAACACCCCCCACCCTCCCTCCTTGGTGAACATCCCTGCACACACAGTGGCAATCTTGATGGAATTTGTGGCTCTAATTTAATTCAATGCTCCAACGGATGAAGAGCCAGCCTAGGGTAGAATCCTGCAGGTTAAAAATGGCCTCTTAATTCCTCCCTTTTCTTTCTCTCCTTCCCCCAACATCTCTCTGCTTTTCTTTATTTATGGCTCCCTGGAGTAACCTGAGAGACATAAACACTTCTATTTGTCAGCTCCATCCTTACAGCCCAACTCAGTTGCCTCCACAATAACGTACGACCAGCATTTTCTCTTCCCTCTTAGCATTACTAACCTTACATATTTTATAAAATAAACCCTTTCTCCCTTGATCTTTCACGATAAATCATTTTAACTAGGGGTATCCTGCCTCCCTCCTTTCCTTTTTTCAGATGGGATATGTTGTTCAGAGGAGTGTGGAGGATCAGACGGCTGTTTGTCAACCTTAAGAGGCCTGTTGTTGAGGTTGGCTACTCTTACAAACAGCCCCTTTGTGCCCCAGATGCGCTTTCGAAAAGAAGGCATGGCTTTTATAAACCTGACAGCATTCGGATGGGAAATACACCCAACAAAGCGAGGGGATATTTCTTGGCTTCGCTCTTCTACCAAACCTGGTAGAACAAAGAGTCCTGTTCTTCCATTTTTTAAAATAAATTCTTTCTTGCCTTACCTTTTGATGCACCTTTCCCTTCAGCCTCTTATTTTAGATGGGAGAAAAATAGCAGCACAACCCAAAGTTTCGATTCACAGTTAATTGACTCTGAATTAGCTGGAAATGATAGACAGGCAGGCAGGCAGACAAATGATAAAACATAGGTGATAGAGATAGATAGATAAATAGATATCCTGTTTTCCCCAAAATAAGACATCCCCTGATAATAAGCCCAATTAGGCTTTTGAGCCCATGGCAATAAGGCCAAGCACTTATTTCAGGGTTCAGAAAATTATAAGACAGGGTCTTATTTTCCGGGAAACACGGTAGATGATAGATAGATAGATAGATAGATAGATAGATAGATAGATAGATAGATAGATTGGGGGAGAGAGAGAGAATGGAATAATAGAATAATAGAATAATAGAATAATAGAATAATAGAATAATAGAATAATAGAATAATAGAATAATAGAATTAATAGAATAATAGAATAATAGAATAATAGAATAATAGAATAATAGAGTTGGGAATGCCTTGGAGGTCTTCTAGTCCAGGCAGGAAACCCTATACTATTTTAGACAAATGGTTGGCCTATCTCCTCTTGAAAACCTGCATTTCTGGAGAATCCACAGCTTCTGGAGGCAAGTTGTTCCACTGAATAATTGTTCTAACTGTCAGGAAATTCCTCCTTAGTTCTAGATTGGTTCTCTCCTTGATTAGTTTCCACCCATTGCTTCTTGTTTTGCCTTCAGGTGCTTTGGAGAAGAGTAGAATAGAATAGAATAGAATAGAGTAGAGTAGAGTAGAATAGAATAGAATAGAATAGAATAGAATAGAATAGAATAGAATAGAATAGAATAGAATGGCAGATGATATATAGATGTATAGATATAGATATAATAAATATAGATGAACTAGATATACAGATATAGATATGGATGGATGGACAGACAGACAGACAGATTTGGTACCCTTGGGTCAGTCTTGACTTGTGGCAACTGCCTGGGTTAGTCCCTGCAGGCAAATTCTTAGAAGTGTTTTGTCACTGCCAGCTTCCTAGGGCAGAGAGAGAGAGAGGGACTGGCAGAAGGTCAGCCTGCTGATTTTATGCCTAAGGCAGGACTAGAAATCACAGCCTCCCAGTTTCTACCCTAATGCCTTAACCATGATGACAAACTGGCTCTCAGCTGGATGGCCGAACTGGTTTTTTAACACAGAGATTTGGAAAAACTGGACTGGTAGCATGGCTGACTTGGGAATTCTGGGAGCTGAAGTCCACCCATGTTGAAGTGGCCAAGGTTGAGAAACATTGCTCTAGTCTAGAGCCTTACACCTTGTGAATCATACTTTTCCATAAGTTTCACGGGGCAGGTCCAAGTTTTAGAATATCCTGAGTGAGTGTAATTGATCCAATCACACATGGCGGGATTCCCTCAGTGGTGGCACCCATGTTATTGAATTAGTAAAATCCCTTTGTTTTTTATTTTACTTCTCTGTCTTGCTACCTACCTCAGAGCGATATTCTTTGGCCATGAACTGGCTGAGATCAACCTTCTCCAACCTGATGTGTTGGAACTACAATCCCCATAATTCCCAGTGCACATGGCTTTTGGCTAAGAATTCTGGGAATTTCAGTCCTAACATCTGGAGGGTATCAGGAGGAAAAACGGCTGTTTCTTCCTTTAAGAAACATTACGGGTTATTTCCTCCGGCTTCTAATGAAAGGGGGAATGGATATTAAAACTCTTATTTAAACATTGTTCAGTTTTTAATTTTGGATCCTGGACCACTCCAAGGCCCATTTGGGGACCAAAAAGCAGGTTATAAATACTTTAATGAGCAAATGGTTCTTGTAATGTTTCTTAATAAATTATCTAGTGGACACAAGAGTACATACTCTCTCGCGCACAAACACGCATTATTGTTTTGTTTTGTTTTTTTCGTTTTGTCTTTTTGCAAGGGTCTGCTAGAGGAATCTTGATTTATTCAATTTTCCTTTTGTCATCCCGCAAGATGCAGCCAATGTCTCATGGGGGGGGGAAGGACTCCCCCTGTCTTTCTCTCCCCCACCTCCTCTTTCCATCTCTTTTTCTTTTTTTTCCTTTGCTCCTTGGTGAACAGATGGACTAAAAAAAAAAATATTTAAAAGGCTCTCACCGTCCTGCGTATATTTTACATACCACGCTGTGCAACATTCATAAGGCTCACGCTGGAATTACTGGTCCGGATATAATATGGGTTACCTAGAGGGAGAAGCAATCATGAAAAAGAGAATAGAAAGATGCTCAGTGCTCTGTGATTCAGAGACTTGGCTCTCTGTATTAGAAATCTCTGACTTGGAAAAAAGGGCCGTAATCCAGCAGCTCAGAGTTTAAGAAGGTAGATACAAATGGAGAGGGGTTTTTTTTCCCCCTTCTCCGTCTATCCGTCCCAGCTGAATGATGCGATTAAAGTCTTCAAGAGTCTATTAAAGTCTTGGAGGAAGGTTGACCTGTGGTTAAAAGCACAGCCGCTTTGACAAACGTGTCTGAAAAAGTTCAGGCCCCTAAGAACGCATAATTTCCATATTCTTACGTATCAATGGGAATCAAGAAAATAAAACAGAACGCCATCACATTCCAGTTTCCTGATTTTTTGGAGTTGGAGAAGGTTGGCGATATTCACAAATCTGAGCTGAAGCTTGTATTTATAGCCCGAGATTTCTTCTTCTTTTTTTTTTAAAAAAAAGGCAAAATATTGTTTGATTTGATCTCCGTTACATTTGGCCAGGCCTGATATTTTTTAATTTCGTTTATTTATTTTTATTTCATTCATTTGTTATATTGATATGCCGCCCATCTCACTGTCAAGAGACGCTGGGAGACTTTTACAACAATATAAAAATATAATATAAAATAATAAGAACGTTAAAAACATTAAGGTCGCTGCATCAGTGAGATCGGCGTCATAAAAATGTAATCAATGAATAAAACAAAACAAAATATTATAGCCTTCTTTGTACCAGAATTTCCCAGATCCGGGGGAGTTTCTGAACAGAATTACGGATTGGGGCTAATTATTTCCTGTCGTTTTCAGATTTCTTGGTTTATTTTTTGATTTTTATCTTCTTCGTAAATATTAGTGGTGGATAAACATGTAAATAAAACACAACGGTGAGCACACCGTTGAAAATATGATCCCCTTTGTTATTACAGATGTAGGCAGATCAAGATGGTTTGATAAGCAGAGGATTATATAATAAAACAACGCAGTAAAACAAAAGGCATAAAATAAAAATAATAATGAAGCACAAACTCCATTATTATTTTTATTTTATGCCTTTTGTTTTACTGTGTTGTTTTATTATATAATCCACTGTTTATCAAAGCACCACCAAGAAGCTTCTTGGTTCCACCGTAGATAGAGTTGTATTTAAGAAATGGCTATTAAATTCATTAATAGTCTGAAAGAGTTTCGTGACCTCATGTCTGTGTCGGATTTCAACTCCCAGAAATTTCCCAGGGCTGTCGGCCACACCAGCTGAGATTTTTTGAAGTTTAGTGCATCTGAGAGGCACCAAGTCTGATCGAATGAACTGTACAAACTCCCCCGTATGGTTGTCAGCGACTGAGCCCCGACTTGAGCAAAAATGAATTATTTCAGCCCATAACATGAAAGGGAAAGGAATTTTTAAAAAAGAATTAAGAAAGTAACACTACTTCTTTTGTTCCGTTCTTAAAATACCAAGTAAGAGTATGATAAAAAAGAAAATATCAGGTATGATTAAAAAGAGTGTGTGATTTTTCTAACATTGAAGAACGATTTTCTACAGGCAGTCCTCGACTTACATCCATTTGTTTAGCGACCGTTCGAAGTTACGGCAGCAACTGAAAAAAACCCCGACTTACTACAAGTCCTCGCACTTGTTGCAGCATCCCGTGGTCACGTGATCAAAATGTCCACGCTTTGGCAACTGGCATGTACTTATGACTGTTGCAGCATCACCTGATTGCCGTTTGCACTCTTCCCAGATTTCAACAATTAAAGGCAACGTGGGAGAAGCTGGATTCACTTAACAATCACATGATTCAGTTAACAAACCGCAGTGATTTAACAACAACCGCAGCAGTTTGCTTAACGATCGTAGCAAACACAGGTCGTAAACCCGGCGCAACTCACTTAATTTGCTTAAGCAGTGGAAACGCTGGTCCCAATTGCGGTCGTAAGGCAAGGAGTACCTGGATTCCTCCTGGTTTTGGCAGGCCAGGTATGGCTGATCCAGGTGCAGAAGCGAATGCGGTGATACGTCTTGAAGCAGGAAAGCTCACGACGCCGGTGTGATACCCATCAGAGAGCAGAATTACCTCCGTAGCATCAGGCCCAGTTTATTACGATCAGCATGACTGTGCAGACAGACGCACCATCACTTAGAAGGAAGCTGCCGCGTACGCTGTGGCACTTGGCTTTGACTGTAGGGAATCAACTTGTAAAACATGTTGAGCTCCAACAGCCTTTACATTTTAAATAGAAATCAAAACCACCTTGAGGGAAAAGAGAGGGAATATTATTACCATTTGGCTTGTTTAGATTGTTTTCTTAGCTTCTCTGGGTTTCTTATATTCTGACTTTCCTTCAGGAGCTCAAGGTGATGGATAAGAACATTGTCTCTTCTCATTTTTTTTCTTTCTTTCTTTTTTCAGCAGAGCCGCAACCTTGCGAAGGCGGGTTAAGCTCAGAGGGGTTTCAATAGGTTGAAAAATGCAACCAAGGTCACTGCAAGATCATAGGGACGGAGAGAGAGAGACTGGACCAAAATGCTTCTCAGACCTGGCAACTTTTAAGAGACATGATTTCAACTCTCAGAATTCCTTCAAGATGTATGGACTTCAACTCCCAGAATTCCTTTAAGATGCACGGACTTCAACTCCCAGAATTCCTTTAAGATGCACAGACTTCAACCACATGGAATTCCCCTTTGGTGTGTTCTGGGAGTTGAAGTCCATGCATCGTGACGTTGCCAAGGAACACTGCCTTTAGGAGACTCTGTGGCTGAGGAAAGATTAGAATTAGGGTCTAATTAGGGTCTAAGATTAGGGTCTTTCAATCCCCTAAACTCCGCTGAAGATATTACCTAGCCTGGTAACGAAACGTTCGGAAACCGACCCACAAGTTCAGAGAACAAACCTTCACCCTCATCCTACACCCGAGCGACAGATATTCGCCACTTTTTTAATTTGGCCCAGAACTTTTATCATTGGGTAAAAACCACACTAGTTTTTGGGCTGGGAAATAAGACCTGGTCCAAAGTTCTGTAAGGAACCACCAGGAATGAGGGGTGATTGAACTTGGGACTCCCCACCCTTAGTCCAGCACCTTCCCCATTGCACCACAGCGGCCTTTGGATCATGAGAGAGGGACTGGCCCAAGGCTTATTTAATTTATATCCTGCTTTTATTATTTTTATAAATAACTCAAGGTGGCGAACATATCTAATGCAGCTTCCTCCTCCTATTTTCCCACCACCACCACCACCCTGGCTGAGAGAGGTCATTCAGCTACCTTTCATGTCTAAGGCAAAACTAGAACTCACAGTCTCCTGGGGATTGGCCCAAAGTCACCCAGCCAGCTTTCATGTCTAAGGCGGAACTAGAACTCACAGTCTCCTAGTTTCTAACCTGGTGCCTTAAATGCTAGATCAAACTGCCTTTTATTCCCAGCCGCCCAGCATTCCAACACCATCATGGCTAACCACACAATGCACTCCAGGCTTGAGCTGACGCTTTCTAAATACCCCCCAAGAAAATGGCAAATGCGTTCAGAGACTCTTCAATTACCCCAAACAGTCGTTCAATTTGAAAACCTCGTTATAACTGGATTTATTTGCCACAGCAAAGATCTTTTAAATGTCTTCTAAGTCTTGGTGACTTGACAGTTAACATGATTCCTTCCCCTCTGCGGAGTTTTTTGAACTGTGCTTTTTTTTTTTTTACATTATCCTTCTAACACACCACCGTTAGCAAAGCAAAACTGAGACAGGATCTTTTTTTGGAAGAGAAGGAACACGAATATGTTTTTCCCCCATAAACTTACACAATTCACACATGGAAAGGGCCATCAAATCTTTATTACAAAATAGCTGAAGGGAAAGCATTAAAGTAAATTAGTGTAAAATACTTTCCAATATTCCTGCCTTTCCCTTTTTCTTTTAAACAATGATTTATGTTAGCATGTAAGACCTGTGATTAAGACAGGAATAGGAAAATGGGAAATTTAGAAAGGGTTTTTTTTTAAAAAAAAATATATATTTTTATTGGAAGTTTTTCGTCAAAGCAAATACAAACTAAACTCAGAAAAAGAGAAATAGAAAGAATTAAAAGTACAAAGAAAAAAGAAAAGAAACTAAGTTAAAGAAAAAAACATATAAAAAGTGACTTCCAATCTTCATCACGGTAAGTATAAACAAATTTGATCACTCTTCACCCTCTATGAGATTATAAACAAATATCTCTTTTTTCCATAACCCAACCCTTTTCTATATGCAAATCCATAAATCATCAACTTTTCAATCCTGGTGTCAGCAAAAAAAAAAGTCTATGAAGCAATATTTTTCAACATTGGTCACTTAAAGATATGCAGAACTCAAATCCTAGAATTCTCCAGTCAGGCTGGGGAATTCTGGAAGTTGAAGTCCACACATCTTCAAGCAGCCAAAGTTGAGAAAAATTGCTGTAAAGGGATACCAGAGCTTTACAGAAACATATCTTACTTTAACCTGGTCAAACAACCCAACTTTATATTCCTTCCTTTTACTTCTAACAATGTTAACTGTTAATTCATTCAAATGGCTCAGAATTTGATTTCACTTCTATTTTTCCTTTGCCCAACTCAAAGGCTTCTTTGAGGTGATAAAAAAACCTCTTTTGTAAAGTCATTGATTTACTTTTTCTTTCCATTTAGAAAGATTTGGGGTGTTGTTGTTTTTTTTTTTAAAGAGAGAAATGCTTCCTAGCACATAGGAATTTAGGGATGAGGATATGAATAGGAAATTCTTGAAATAAATTCTACAAGGCTCACCCTACCTCTCACGGAAAACATTAAACGGATGGAAATTCAGGATGCAAAGATGGACGTGTCTCAGCTTTCCATCAAAAGTGGAAAATGAATCCAAAGTTTTTTGAGGTTCAAAAAAAAAAAATCCTAAATGTTTCATTCCACATAAATAGAGTGAAATGAATCAGCCACTTTTAATCCTCTTATTAAGAGATCTGCACGGCTTTAGAAAGTTCTTGAAAAAAAATAGAAAATTAAACCTTCACCTATCTTTACCAAATACATTCAACAGGTGCAACCTCCTTATGCTGTATCCCTGTGCCATTTGACAATTCAGAACTGTCTGAGGTAAAAAAAAATGGACTCAATCTGGATTTTTAAGAGCTTTGAAACCCTCTCTGATTAGGTAGGATAAATTTCTCCATTCTCTTTTTTGTTTTCTTTTTTTTTTTAATGACTCCCCCACCCCCCACCCCCATTGCATTCAGGAAAAAAATCTGCAAAACAAAAAGAAATCCCAAGATACCACTGCAGCAGTAGCAGCAGCAACAACAACAACAGGAAGAGCACTCCGACAAATACATTAAACTGTAAAAATATGCATTTTATAATCAACCTTACACACTTCAGTTCACCAACAGTCCTTCGCAAGGAGGCATCTTTGCAAACCGCTACAGTAATCCCTTGATAAAAGCACAAGGACAATGCCACTTTTATTTTTCCTCCCAGAGTGCTGAATTTATTCTTTTCCTCATTCGTCTCTATTTGTCCTAAGGTCCTCCCTTGCATTTTTGTTCAAGTGGGGAGAGAGAGAGAGAGAGAGAAGGAGGGAGGGAGGGAGAGAGAGAGAGGGAGAGAGAGGGAGGGAGGGAGAGAACGCAAAGGGATGGCGGATTCGTTCTGTTTTTTTCTTGCTTTCCTTAATTTCTGTTTTGAAAGCAAGAAGCGATGTTGGGTGATGTTTTGTTCTAAGCATTCTCCAGAACTGAAGCGGCCGAGGGAGTGTGAGGTCTTCTGTAATGGAATAGAAAAAGAAAAAGAGACAGTGGCAAGATTATTTTGCATAGCCCGCTGGTCTAAACTCCCAAGTTCAGAGACAATCTTGAAAGCGAGGCAGATTTCCAGTTTTCCTGGCTCAGGAGAGACCAAACAATTTTGCCCCATGGGGAAAAAGACAGGGAAGAAAAAAAAATGTCTTTGACCCCCTTCTCTCTCTCTCTCTCTCTTTCCTTCTCTCTTTCTCTCTCCTTTTTCAAAAGCGTCTGGGCCTCTCGAGAGGACCTCTGCACCAGTGGGTAAAACAAAACCTCACAAAAAGGCATTTTTTTAGAATTTCATTTCATTTGGTTTCGATGTCCTTTCGGAAGGAGGTGGCCTCCGTGGCCTCTTAAGCCCACTTCATAGCAGCAGCTGCCCCTCCCACGCTTCGTAGCGGCTGAGAAGCTGAGCTCCGAGGAGCAGATGAGGATGCACAGGGTAGAATAGAAAAGGTTAGGTGGGTTTTATTCATCCTGAGGTCCTCTGGACATGCTTTGGGAATGCTTACAGTTGAGTTGAGTTGAGTTGAGTTGAGTTGAGTTGAGCAGAGTTGAACTGAATTTTGAACTGAACTGAATACTTTATTTGGTCAAGTGTGATTAGGCACACAAGAAATTTGTCTCTGCCACCGAGGCATTCAGTTTACAGGTAGTCCTCGACTTACAACAGTTCATTTAGTGACCATTTGAAATTACAACAGCACTGAAAAAAGAATAGAATAGAATAGAATAGAATAGAATAGAATAGAATAGAATAGAATAGAATAGAATAGAATAGAATAGAATAGAATGTCAGAGTTGGAAGGAAAGTCTATATCATTTCAAATGGTTGCCCAAATGACTTATGACCATTTTTCACACATAGTTGAGGACTACCTGCAAAGCAACAAAATCATCATCATCATCATCATCATGTCAATTAAAGGGAGAGTAAAGAAGGGAATAAGAAGGATAAAATTCTGGAAGTTGTTATCCTCGCACATCTCGAGAGGCCCCCGTCAGCCCTGTGAGGTTGTCCAGACAGGAAACACAAACTTTGAGTGCTAACTCTATTGTCAAGTTATAGTAGCAGAATATTGCAAGTCAGTAAGTATCTCTTTTCACCTAGATATTCCAAAAAGCTCAGGTGGGTCCTTTTTGAGATGCTTCCCACACCCCTTTTCCACCTGTGGGCTGAGATACCTTTTCCCTGATGCTTGTCCAGGTATGTGTATTCCTCCCATCTCCCATGGTCATTCACACATACCAATACAA